GGAGGCGGGCTAAGGCCGCGGGAGTCTCAGGCCAGGCGCGGGAAGAGGAAGTCCAGCCGGCCGTGAGAGGAACGGAGGGCCAGGTCCTGCTCTGCTTTGCCAGATCAGGAGTCCTGAGGAGCTCAGAGGAGCAGGGAGCCCGCAGTGATAAGGCTGTCCAGGGGCAGTCTCCCTCCGGCGGGCAACTTCACCAAGGCGCGGTTCCTTTGTTTTTTCAGAGCCACCCCCGTGTCCCGTTTCTCTAAATAACCACTATGAAGTCATCACTGCGGCCCACGGGTGTTTCAAGTGGTGTATTTTGTTCACCCACAGCCCTCTTTGGTGCTATGTGTGAACCCTACCTAACACCTGGTGCTTGATTTTTCTTTATCTCCAAGGTGCTAGCACAGGAAGGGTCTGCAAACATCCAAATATCATATGCATACATACACACACACACACACACACATATATATTTATGCGTCCACCAACCTTCAAGGAAAAAGAAGATATAAATGAATGTGCTCTCTTACTATTTCACAAATAAGACAATGACTGGAAATTTTCAAGTGTCATGATTAAGAGAATTCTGTGCTCACACTTACTAATGTTTGGGCAGCAGCATTCTTGATGAAAGGAATGCAAACCACTCTACTCAAAGTGTCTTAACCTCACTGACGTAACTGGGCAAGTGTTTGGTGAGGTCCACTGAGGTCAACAGATGGAAGACCATTGCCCTTACTGGCTCAGTTTGGTGAGATGTGCCTGTTGAAGCACCGTGTTTAATGTTCTCTCTACGGACACTACTACAAGTAGGGATGGCTTTTTAGTTATGTGTGTGTGTGTGTCTTACAATGAGTTATCCATTTATTCATCAGATATGATTCTGAACTCAAGGTCAAGAAATTAAAAGCAGTTATTAAAAGAATAGACAAGGGTAAGAAGCTGATTCATCACTACTGTGGTTAAGAGCTTGGTGAAGTTGGAACATTAGACAGCCTCAAATACCATGTGTTCTAAGACACCCCATTAAAATAAAATTAAAATAGAAAAGAAACCAGAAAACTGTACAACTAGCCAGAAAAAGATATTTAAAAAAAGTCTTCACTCAATTGAAAACAATAAGAACAGAGATGTCAGTCTGACTGACATGTAGTAACTCTTTATACCAGTGATTTTCAACCCTCCGGACACAACAGCAGCATCTACAGAGCCTGTCAGATCTGCAGGATTCTGATTCCACCTGGGAGGCGGGATTCGAAAACAGCATTCCCTGTCTCATGACCCGAGTGAAGCTCAGGAGTTCTGCACCCCGAAGCACAACTCTGTGTGCTGAGTACGCTGAGCTGACCGACACTGGAAGGGCCTCAGAATAGTCTCTTGCGATCCGATCTCCTCCCATCCTCTCCACTCTGCTCTCCACACCACAGCAGGCCACAGAAAATGAAAGTTACTTTTCCCCAATGTAGTCAAAGGAACTTGAACCCGTTTCCTCCAAGGAGAGCCTCAGCCTTCATTTCTGAAAGTCCTGTTGTATACAACACAGATTAAAGCGTCGCTGTTCTTACTTGCTGGTCTTCTTTGCACCTCTCCACCCCTGTGTCCCGAGGAGCTTCGGACCTCGTGTTTATGACTCTACATTTCCCTGGCTGCATTATGTCAAAAGCAAGGAGGTTTGGCAGATGTGACTATGGCCCTTATTCAGTTGAGTTTGAACCCCAGAAGGTTGATTACTCTGGTGAGGTCTCAGCTGGGTGGGCCCCTTGGGGGGATGCACATGTGTGACGAGATGTCGCTCTCGTGGCCTCGGAAAAGCCAACAGCATTTATGGAGAGGGTCGCGGTTGGGGTTGGTGAGACCTGTGGAATCAGAGCCTCCACTCTGCACGTGGAAATCCAGAAAGAGGTTGTGCAAGTTCAGGGAGCTCGGATCCTCAGTGAGGCCTGGGGAGCCTGGGCAGGGACCGCAGTGTACAGCGTGGGACGGAAAAGCCCAACATAGCCCCAGAGCTCTGTGGAAGCAGCTGTTTGCAGCAGTCCTGAAACAGCCACAGACCTGCTGTGCTGTCCGTTTCTCTAAGTGAAGCTGGGGCACTGCATTTCCAGGTGTTTTCAGCTCACTCCTTCACTGCTGATTTGGGCACAGACAGCACCATCCCAACACACTTCTCCATGGTCACACACGCACAGCCTTCCCTGAACACACACAAGGGCACCATCACGGGAGCTTCCAGCCCCAAGAGGCCTCAGAGCCCTGAGGGCCTGTGCTGTTCACAAGGTTGCTTTCATGCTGTGGGTGAGGGGAGTCTGAGCTTTTAAAGCCACTTTCTCTCCATCTTGGGCTGCTAAGGATTTGATGTTTGTGTGCTCATCGTGGTAAGACCGTGTGATCCTCAATTTTTCTTCCATATATAATTACTTGAAACCAAGTTAATGTGCTTAACATAACTAGGTAGAGACATAAATAGGAAGATGTTCATAAGCTTCTCCAAAGGGTGGAGCATACCAAGCAGTCCGATAGCTTTCAGTTTCTCAGTAAGAAACTGGAAATAACTGAGAAATAGCTAAAGTACAATCATCCAGTGAGACAAAATATCATACGTGCAGAGGCCAAGGTAAATAAATGTGCTCAGGGTCTCAACATTTGACTTCTCCAGGAAACTTATAAGAAGAGTGGTGTTCCTCTAAAACCAAAGAGAAAACACAAATAAAGGAAACCAGAGGCTCAGCACAGAAGACAGACCAGGAGGTAACTAAGGCCGGGGGTGGTGGCTGGCAGTGCAGGGAGAGCAGCCTCACCCTGACATGGGGTGGGGCTGGGGGCCAGGGTGCAGCTGTGTCCTGGGGGTTGGGAAGTTGTGCAATACGCCCTTTTCTAGATTGTACACACTTAAATTAGTGCAAATTTAAGTTTGTGTGATCACTAGTACAAGAACCACTGTTGGTGATCTAAACAGAATGAAACAGATTCCCACATCTCTGCGCAGGTCTGGATGTTTCTTTGCTACTTTATGTGCCGAGTCCTCTGCTTTGGAACATCCACCTCTCCGTTCTTAGGAATCGCAGTCTGCAGTGAATCACTCCCTGCTGTGTGCTGACTTCCTGTGCCCACTGGTGTTCACTCGCTTTCTGCTGTACTCTTCCGACTTCTGTGCTCTCCTAACGTTAGCACTGAGAATCAACTTCAGCGTTTCCCGAGCTATGCTCTTGTCCTCTGCTGTCGCGGCTACCAAAGAGAGGAGAGTGGAGTGGGTTATAAAGGTGGAAGCCAATATTTTGCCATGTGCTTAAATTAAATGTAGTACAGCCAGCAGTCATACTGGGGTGGGGAAGGCAGGGTGCAGAGCTGGACGGGGTGCTGCCCTGGCCTGTGTGTGGAGGGTGGAGAAGCCAGCCCCGATGCAGGTGCAGAGCACCCAGAGGTGAAGGGGGCGCTCAGAAGGCTGACTGTGGGACATCTAGGTTTAAGAAATAAATTGTAATCAAAAGAAACGTTACAAATTTCTGCCTATGTTAGAATGTTACAAAAATAATGATGCTTAATGATTATTTGAAATTGAATTGTGATGCCTCTTGCTTCGCTGCTGTTGCCCACCCCAGGATTGATTTCACTAGTCTGAGTCTCTTCTGATTCCCTAAGGATTTTAGGACATTTCTTTAGTTCTGTGCTGCTGCTGCTGTTATTCAGATTGGGATTTCATTAAATTTATATATCAATTTTGAAAAAATGGCCATTTAAACTATATTGGTTCTGCCTGTAAAGGAATGGTGGATGTCTTTGCATTTTCTGTAAGGTCCTATCTCCTTTTTCAAAGGACTATAGCTTTTGTTTTCGAGGTCTGTCTTTTCTTGGGTTAAGTTATGTCCTAAGTATTTAATTTTCGCTAATGGTCTTGCGAATGATATTGTGTGTTAACATGTTAAAATTTTGTTCATGAGTCCCCGAATATTTCCCATACTAATCCTTAATTTAGTAAAGTTTTTTTTCTCTTGTCAATAGCTGTATATTATTAAGGACGTTATAAGTGTATGTGAATTCAGTGACCTGTTTAGATTATGCTTTCAGAAAAAGTGTCAAGGTATAAAATTACAGTATGTAGTAGGATTGTAGTAGCTAAAGGATTCAATGTCCAAACTGTGACATTCACATTTTGTTACTATTCATTTATAGTAATCTATCATACGTAGATTGACTTATGTTTAACCACACTTGGTAGAAAAGACCCATTTCCCCCAATACAACTAATTTTCATGTAAATATCATAAATCGTAATGTAATATTTACATTGACAAGCTCAAGATTATAACATTTAAAGTGTTTTAGCAACTTGTCTAAGTCAATAGTCCTTCTGTCAACTAGAGAAATGCAGATGTTTATGTATCTTGAGTTGTAAAGTGGGTAACAGAAAAGTAGATTAAATATTAGAAATCTCCCATTCTATAGTTTTAATCATCACCTAGTGAGACGTTTTTCTTTTAATCAGTAGTGTTTTTAGTCATAAAGAAATATTTTTATCTGTCCATCATAAGTTATTCATTGGTTATGTGTTCCTAACATACTTTTCATAATTCATAAATTGATTCCAAAGTTCATTAGTGTTTTTGAAAAATCTCTGAAAATTTGTTGGCAATAAACACATTTGGTAAGTATATATAAGTGATATTGAGTAGTATTGCTTATTGTAAGTATCTTTGCTGCTTGTATTTAGAACCTGATGGAATAGCTGGTTCTCAGAGGTGTCTTCCAGATATAGCTTGTCCTTAGGCTTTGAGTCTCTAATGATTCTGGGACAATCTCATTTTCATTATACTAGGAAAGATAACTGATTAGATCAATCACAACTACTTAGCCCAAGTGATACGATCAGCAACAATAGCATCAAGCACAGCTTAGAAAATGACAATTTGTGGTAGTTATTAATTTATCACTATCAACTGTGAAATAAATCAAACTTGAGAAGTAGCCCAAAACAGGTTTATAGTGAATAAACTGTTCAATAGAGTAGCTTCACCGGTACTTTGGGATGGGGGCTTAGAAGGAGTAAGGCCCTCTCCGTCTTCTTCACTTCTGCTCTCCCTTGTGGAGCTCATGACAATGGCGTGTAAGACCCCCTGCGCCTCTGCAGTGTGGATCCAGGTATCAGCACCACAAGAATGCTCGAGGTGAGGGGGACGTAGGCTTCGAACAGCTGTGCAGCTCTACTCCTCACTGTTGGCTCAAGGCTGGGAGGCTTGGATGAGTGTGAAAAACTAAATTTGTAAATAAGGGTGAAAATGTACAGTTGATATTGTGTAATAGGAAGAAAAGGTCTAAAGGAATATGGGAAAAGTGGGGGGAGTAGGGGAAAGGTAAGAAAGGAAAAGCAAAAACATGAGAAAAGGGAAAACATGGAAACAGTCTTTGTAAACAGGGAAGGGTGAAGGGGGTGAAGGGAGGGAAGGGGTACGGGAGAAACAGGAACCAAATTCCATCATGTAAAGATACAAGATCCCAGTGATGAGTGTAACTGTATTGTGTACCTTCACCATACCAATAAACATAATGGAAAAAAACCCTAAAAATGGAACTGCATAGATCTAATAATCTCACTTCTGGATATATGTCCAAAGGATTTTAAATGAATATATCGTGACAAGAATTTATCCTCTTTTATAAAGCTAGATAACATTATATCATATTTACATATTACATTTTATTAAGGCACTTTATTCTACAACATAGTAACTATAATGTATTTTGTAGTTCAAAATTTCTATGAGTTAATTACAAATGTTTCCACCCAATGATAGAGAAAACTTTTGTAAATAGCAAAACCTACAACATGTCACAATGTTGAATGGCTTCTGCCATCTCTAACAGCAGTGCGCTTTGTTGAGTTCAGAATTAACAGACACCTGAGGCATTAACCACTAAATGAGGCATCTGGTCTCATCCTGAGATAACAGGGCACATCAAGACCCTGAGATCCAAAGTTCTGTAAACCACATGATTGTAAAAGTGTCAGGATGAAAAGAACCATTGTTAACATTTGCTTTCCTCACCCTGAACACCCACTTCCTATGGGCTAGGATAAATAGCTAGGTGAATCTTCAAGGTAAACTCCCTGAACCACAAAGAATTGCTACATCTGTGTTGAAAGTTAACTGCCTTGTGCCCATGATTTGTTTGGTAATGTGAACTAAGAGAATGAAATGTAACCACCTGAATGAGATCAAGGCTGTAAAATCCTATAAAAGAAGGAGTTGTACCTCAGTGCATAGTTGATTCCGGGCACTGATTTTAGGTGAGATCAACCTTCGTTGACAAAATAAACTTTTTTTTCTTATTTTACTTCCATTCCATGCCTCTCTGTGCATTGCTTACCAATTCCTTCCATAACATCAATGATAATTTATAAATATGGGAGTAATACATCTATTAATTATCTCAAATGAGCCATTCCAAGGGATCGGAGAGGCAAGAAATAGTGTACATTACTGTGGTGGAAATGGAGATTGAATGATGTCCTTATTGAAAAGAGCACATAATGCAGCTCAGTACAGTTCAGAGAAAGCCCTGTGTGCATTCTCTGGATTCTGATACACACACACACACACACACATCACACATCACACACACACACATCACCACAGTCAAGTCAAACTGAGTACTGTGCCATCCTCTGAACTCCGCTCTTTGAGCTCAGGCACAATTCCACCATTTCTATCATCCCTACAGACTTCACAGATGTGAGTTTTCTATTTCTATGAGCATGCCAATTTTTAAAAGATGTTTTTGTTTTAGGAATAAAAGTTTTGATATATATAACACAGACAACCTCTGAGGTACGTAATGCCATTGTATGGCATCTTTACGCACTATACTACAATTCTGTACCAGTTGGTTAATTGCCCACAATCTGATCTGAAAGTACATATTCAAAATATGAAATGGAGAAAAAATGAGAACCAAGACCTGTCATGTAAAGGTACAAGATCCCAGTAATGAATGTAACTGTACTGTCTACCTAGAATGTACCAATAAACTCAATAGAAAGAAAAAATATGAAATGGAATAAGAAATATTGTTTAAGAATCTGGCAGCTGAAAATTTCCTACTTTTCACTGGAATAGATTCGTTTTGAGCAGTTGTCCTGAATTCAGTTTTATGCTATTTTTGGAGGGCAGATAGATGTTCTCGTAAAACATCACCCACTTTGCATCAAAAGTGTTTCCTTGTGGACCGGAGACCAGGGTTTCCCAGGGGCTCTTGAGCAGCAGGCAGGAGCTCAGTCCTCATTAGCAGTTGCTCTTCTAGGAAGAGACATTCAAGTCTTCTCTGGGCTGAGAAACGTGACATTTTGCTGAAATTCTATTTTCCACCGAATTGATGCTGTGTTATTGAAGTTTTACTTTTTGAGGAAAAAGACTTACAAATTTATGACAGTTGATAGCTCTTCCTAAAATGTGTTTCAGAGTTTTTAGAATAACATTTTAAATAGCTTTATTTCTTATATCTTGTTCTTCATGGTTTGTTGATAGATATAATAAATAGATAATATTATTTTAAGGACCATTTCTTCAAAGAAAGATTACTGTGGTTTTGTAAGTATGAGCTCCAAGAGTGCTGGCAGGCGATCCTTCTTATTTAACTTTTTAATATTCTATATCTGCAGATATTTGGTATAATGTTAGAAGAAGAGACTATACAAAGAATGATTAAAACAATTTTACAATCATTAGTTAATAAAAGGAAAGAAAATCTAAACGTCCTTTTATTCCGTGGAGAAGATACTCTTCCAAGAGCTCCTCTCACCTTTCAGGGTCACAGGCATGGCTTGTGAGAGGTCCTGAGGTTCCTTCTTCACAGGGCCAGAGAATGAATAGCTGTTTGGCCAAACAATCGCAGAATATTTCAAAGGCCCCTTGTCAAGTTTTCTAAAGTTAAAAAGAAACAGAACCTAGTCATATTTATATTGCTCAAAGGTATGTGGTTTATTCCAGTGTATATGTAGATTGAATTGCATTATTTCAGTAATGTGCTGGTGTTCTTCATTTGGGCTAACTCCAGGCTAGGTGAATCATACATGTACTGTTGTATCTGCCGAAGAGATATGAAGGTGTGTATTTGCTATCATTTGGTCTTAGTTTGAATCTATCCCTCACCTCTCGTTCTCTACCTTTCTCCATTTCCATCTTCTATAATGCGTTAATTCCTCTCTGAGTCATTCTGTAAGGGTTTGTAATGAAAGCAAAATTCAAAATTTAAGTTAGTGTGGATGTCAAACGTGAAAGTATTGTGGATGATGTTAACATCACAGCAGGCTGCATTATGATGGAATAACTACAAATGTGATTAACTACAAATGTTTGATAAAGTAACTATGGATGCTTGATAAAGCTATTTAAGAAGAAATGTAGACTTTCAGCTCCTGGGCCCCGGCATGGTGAACTCATTCTCAAACCTGTCTTTGAAGAAACATTAACGCTGCTTTCTCCTCGGGCAAATATCCTGAGCTTGGTTTATAACTCAGTTTCAATAGACATAAATACTGATTTGTTTAACTCAAACTAAGGGTCAACTTGATTACCAAATTGAGCAGGCATAAATGATTAATATTATTTTGGACTGAAATCTCAATGTGTTTAATATACTGGAGAACATGTCATTATTATGAATCATGTCATGCTCAGCACAGTGCTTTTACATTGATTCATGTGACCGTCTCTCATTCAGAATTCCCTTAAGGAAGAAAGGATTTTGGAAGCTGGGTGAGGGGTGGGAGGCATTAGGGAAGGGGGTTCAGGACGCCTGTTAGGTGCTTCAGGCTCCCCTTGGCACACGTCAGGTGAAACAACTGTGTTCGTGGCATTTTATTTGGTAAGGACTAAAGTTCCCTTGAATTTTTTTAACATTCATTTTTTTGTGCATGCATTTTTGAGAAGAGTAAATACTAAAAATTTTAAATAATGTTTCTGTTATGATGACATAATTATTGCAATAATCAGAAAACATTTTGCAGATTTTATTTCTACTTTAAAGCAGTTTGCTCAGTAGAATAACAAAGTAGCTTATGTAACATAGGATATATAATTTGATATTCTACTTTATTTATTTATCTAATTTCTATTAAACTATCGTCTTTTCCTCTCTGTTTCTCTATCTTGCTCAGTTGTATTCATTAACCTCTGTGAAATCTTGTATTTATTTTCTGTTATTCATTTAACCAGTGTTAATTCTTATTTTTATTTAGCCTGTTTTTCCCATATTCTTTTTCTTTGGTGGGGAGCACCAGGGATTGAATTTGGGTCCTTGCACTTGCGAGGCAGGCAGTGGAACCATTGAGCTAAATCTCCAGCTCTTTTCCCATATTCTTATTAAAGTAATTGTATCAATGGAGGAAACATAATCTTGGAATTGAGATTGTTTTTTCACAGATTTTCATTAAAAAGTACTATCTGGTCCTCATAAGTGCAAGGTCCCAAGTTCCATCACTGGAACCAAACAGAAAAAACAAAAAAGGGAACTACAATCTGGTGGTATTTATCTTATCTTAGACAGTGACATAGTACATTAGTTTTTTAAAATAGTTTTAGAATTGGATTATTTTTATTATATTAAATATTTCTTTTTTGCTCTTTTGTTAGTAATGTAAAAGCATTTTAGACTACTACAAAAAGAATGAGTATGATTTGTATAAAACATACATAATTGAACTACTGAATATTTTAAGCAAAATTTTTAGTTTCAAATATTTTAGACCAATTAGGGGTTTCAGCCTAAATCAATAACTAGACATTCTTTTGGAACTGGTGAATTAACAAGGTTCTGTTTATGTAGTTGAGACCAGGAACTACCAATAGCATATAGTAATGTTTCACATAACTTTACTACATATTTTTAGGACATACGACCTGTAATTAAAAAGCTATTATTTACTCTGAAGATGTATAAAATCCCAAATTGTGTCAGAAACAAAGACAAAATTTTCAATTTTTACCTTTGAATTATACAATCCTTATAGCTTGCTTCAGTCAAAGATGCATACATGTTAAATTAAATTTGGATGATACATTTCAAGGTTGCCCTTATTTTGGTGAATCTTGTGAATTTTTTTCTATTTTTAGAAGGAAATATCAATGCATATCCATTCATATTTTGTAAGGGCTACAATATTACCTTCAAATAAATATTGCTGCAGCTGTTATTCCTATATCTTACTAATAAAAGTAGAACAAAGGTTAAGTAAATATTTATTAAAAATTATACCATTATGCAGCAACACTGTCTTGACAAAGTGCCACTTATAGGAAAGAACTGAGCAGAATGTTTTCAATAATGAACAAAGATTTAATCTAGCAGCCCAAAATATGCAAAAAGAATGTAAGTTTTGACAAAAAATGCTTACAGAATTATTTATTTTTATCCTGCTTCCAGTAAACATCTTTATTTTCACTTTGCCTTTTACAGCTTCTGAAGATCTAAAGAAAGAAGCTGAAAGATCCAAAGTTTAAAAAAAAAGTAAGTTCCTATGGATTAAAAACTGTCAATGAGAGGGAAGTGCTAATTTTTTCTCAATCTGCACAACATATATGAGTCAAAACATTACAGGTACCCCATTAATATCTAGCTATTGCATGTCTATCACCAATAAGAAACAAAAATAATAAAAAAATCTATATTCCAATAGAGGTAGGTTTATTTTATCTAATAGGAAGAAATGATATTTTCACCCAAAGTGATTCCACAAATATCAGACATATTTAACTCTTGTCCTTTTATTCTTCTAAAAGGTAGATATATTATTAAATGGATGTATCATATATTGCCTGCTTTGATATTTCAATTTAAGCCATGGAAACAAGAAACCAAAGTTCTGGGACAGATTTTACACTTGTTGGTGTTTTCCAATATGGCGGAATGAATGCTGTTCTCTTTGCTGCCATTACCGTCCTCTTCTTGGTGGCTGTGCTAGGAAACGTCACCCTGGTCCACCTCATCCGACTGGACAGCAGACTCCACACGCCCATGTACTTCCTGCTCAGCCAGCTCTCCCTCATCGACATGATGTACATCTCCACCACTGTGCCCAAGATGGCGACCGACTTCCTGACAAACACCAAGACCATTACGTTCTGGGGCTGTGAGATTCAGACATTCGTATTCCTGAGCCTTGGCGGGTCCGAAGCCATCCTCTTGGCCTTCATGTCATATGATCGTTACATAGCCATCTGCCATCCTTTGCACTATGCAGTGCTCATGAGCAAGAAGATCTGCTGCGGCCTGGTCACGTGCACCTGGTCTAGCGGTGCTGTCAACTCCTTCATACACACACTGTATGTTTTCCAGCTTCCCTTCTGTGGGTCTAGGGTCGTTAACCACTTTTTCTGTGAAATTCCGTCTCTACTGCCATTGGTTTGTGAGGACACCTCCCAGTATGAGTATAGCATCCTGCTGAGTGTACTTTTCATCCTGTTGCTGCCTTTCGTGGCCGTCCTAGCGTCCTATGCTCGGGTGCTCACTGTGGTATTCCAGATGCGCTCAGGCGCAGGGCAGAACAAAGCTCTCTCCACGTGCTCCCCCCACCTGATTGTGGCCAGCCTCTTCTACACAGCAGGTCTCTCCACATACACGCGGCCTCACTCCTTGCATAATCCTGCCCATGATAAGGTGGTGGCAGTGTTTTACACCGTGGTCACACCCCTTCTGAACCCATTCATCTACAGCCTGAGGAACAAGGAGGTCCTCGGGGCCCTGAGGAGGCTGCTGGGATCATGGACACTGGTGCAGAAAATGTGACTTAAGAATTCTTCAGCGATGGAGGGTCAGCACAGGAGACAGCTGTGTCTGTAATCCCCCAGGGAGGGTGTTGGGATAGAAATTCTGTGTAGATGCTCAAGAAGCATGGGGCTTATTAGAAGTGTTCAGCTTATAAATCAGTAGAGTACACATTTGATGGACTCTGTGCTCCCGAGACATGAATATTTTGAATTTTTCTTTTTATTTCCATGAAAATCAGTCCATATAAATGAAATCTACCCAAACATTTAACATCAAGATAATTTATATAACGTCTAAAGTTAATGGAGATAAAAAATATAATTTGCCCATCTAGTCATAAATTCATCAATGTTTTAGAGACATCACTGTGACTGTGACTTTGTCATAAGGTCTGTTTACATGGAAGTCAAAGAAGCTAAATCTGAGGAATTCTCCGGATTTATTTCTCCTTCCATCTAAACATCCCTCGGGCCGGGGATTTAGCTCAGCGGTTCGGTGGCCTGCCTCACAATCGCAAGGACCAGAGTTCGATCCCAAGTACGAAAAAAGCTAAATAAATAAATAAACATCCTTAGACCACACAAGCTAACAGAAGAACTGTGGTGTGAACACGGCCGAATCCTCCTCCCAGTATGAACCTGGGTGAGGATGCCCGGTGCCTCTCAGTGCCAATTTCTTTCTCTAGCTCCAGTGTCACTGTTTGGGTGGTTTTCTTCTAACTTACTAGTGATGCTTTCCTTAAAGAGTGTCCACTATTTGCTTCAAAAAATTAAAAATGTTTGTATTTCAATAAATAATTTGAAATTTACTACAGACAAGCAGTCCAAGGTTATGAGAAATTCACTGTTACAGGATGCTGGTGTGAGGTGTAACCAGAATTGTTTCTCAGTTATGTATTTAGAAACTCAGTAGGCTGGGAAAACTTTTTTCTCTTTAGCTTTTTAATCAACTAAGCATTCCCATCAGCTGTTTCACTATGCAGCACTCAGGAAAGATATTTCCTCATTAACACACCCACATACTAGTGCACGAATGCATCAAAATAATGGAGTACTCTGAGTGGTCACCACCATTCACCTCACTATACCAACTGACAGCAACAGCCATGGGGTAGGAAGCTCTCTGAGGAGACCTCCAGGAATGCACTGAGAAACGGACTGGCTCATGTGTAGAACCTCAGTCATGACTCTTATTGAACTTAACAGAAGCCATCTTGGGAACAGGAGCTCTGTAGATGTTAGGAGAGGATCAGGGCTTAGCACCAAGCTGACTGGATGTCTGGAGAGGGAGAGGAGGTGGGAAAGTGTCAATGGCCGAGCAACGATGCAGGTTTGTTCAGAGCCAGGAGAGAAGTAGTTGGCTTGTGTGGAGCAGGTGTGTGTGTGTTCTGCTCCTATAGTATTCTAGGTAGGTAAGCTGGAGTCACAGCCCTGCTCTCATCTGGGCATCAGATCATCGGAGAGGGCTGGCTTCTCACACGCAAAGCAAACACTTCCTGAAGGAACTCAGGTTGCAGCCAACTCGGAAGCTCATCAGAACCAGAAATATTTGTATGTCCACGTTTACCCTGTAGACAGAGACAACATCTAACAGTACTGGAGGCACACAGCTCGCCAGGAGGTCATGTGCCCAGCATGCCCAAGTGCCCATTCCCTCTGCAATACCAAAGAAAAAAAATCTAAAGGTGGTTTCCTTTTCTTCAGGTATATATCCTAACAGAAGGGAAATTGTTTTTTCCTAGTCATCTCGAGGAATCTGAAAGTCCTGCAGACATTCAATACATCTCACTGAAAAATTAGGTCAGGCAGAAGTAGGAGGTGAGTGGAAAACCCAGTGCATGTCTTCACCTGTGTCTTGCCTCCTTACCATACAGCACTGCCTGTGCAGATAAAGCTGGGTGCACACTCACACAGCTATGCACACTCACGTGCACACACACAGGAGGGTCCCTGGAGGCACTCTGGCCCTCAGGCTGAGGCTGGGCCCCTGCTCCCCCCTCCCTGTTCTGAGAACATTCGCAGGATTTCTGACTGTTTGCTCCTGAGGGAGTGCCCCCTTGCTTCTTGTTGAATAACTGTGGAACTTGGTCAGACCAAGCGTCCTATCTACAATGGGAGGAAAGCACAGAGCTTCTTGCTCTGCTGAAACAAATTCGTTCTAATGAATCATGAGGCACAATGGCTATCACTCGGCTCCTTCAGAAAGATGAATACTTTCGATGTTTCTTAACATGGTCATTATTTTTAGGGTTAATGCACCAATACTTCAATCAAGGTTTATATATTTTCTTACCCAATTAATTTATCCAGAATACCAGTGTTGGGTTTATATTTTTGCTTTGGTCTTCTCTGCTTCATTCTTTGACTACACCTATGTACCTATTTGAATGTAAAATTACTATAGCCCTTATTTATGTTCAGAGAATGCTATTATAATTATTAAGACTGATTTTTTTCATAGCATTGTTACTTTCCCAGAAATTTATCTGTATAACTGTATTTGAGCAATTACTCAATATTAACATTTTCATGAAGAAGTCAAACAGTATTATAACACTTAGTGTTAAGTGAGCCTTTGTTGCTGGGAAGACATATTCTCATTTTAAAAATTTAAAACATTTCCCACAACAGAAACAGTTTCTGTCAGGCATATCAGAAGGTATTTTGTTTTAAAAGAACTGGGAGAATGAACAGAAGGGGGTACATGGCTCCTGGATATACCTGATGCTTCATCTCTCTCCACATTAACATCCATAAATAATCCTCTCTGAGAGCTGTGAAGATCTCCCTTTCACAGGAGGTTGAGCTGAATCTCAGAGAGCGCAAACAGCCTGGTCAGAGGGGACCGAAGCCGGGGAGGAGCTCCATGCTGCATTCTGCCCAGGGAAGACAGTTGCCTTGGCCACGTGATCTCGCCCTGGCTCCCTAGGACTTACCAGGTCTTTGCGGATCTATCGATTATTGCCGAAGGCTGTGCTGGCAGGATTGATGGCTTCCCAGGAAGGAACATGTGATTTTCACATGCCTGTTTAACAATGATAAAAGGCTGTAACACTTTCAGATGGATCACTACATTCTGACTCTTAATTAAAAACTATTTGGATGAGAATGTAGTTCTGTGACAGAGCACTTACTTAGTGGACACAAAGTCCTGGGTTCAAACCCCAGCACTGGAAAAAACAAACAAATAAAATATGTACCCTTGTGTCCATGTAAACAAATGCTAGTTCTTTTGTTCAATGTATATTTCTTTAATTTCCAGTGATACTTCATACTCCCTGAGCTTGTAATGCATAAATTTGTGTCTATCATGTTATGATTATGCAAAGAATATGATTGATCCTTTCTTGAGGCTGGGGGTTGTTTTGCTGTCTGGCCCTGTGTTAAATAAATGTGTTTAGTTTTATCATATAAATCAACTATGCAGTTCCTCTTGGAAAAATGCCAGTTTTTGAGTTGCTGGAAAGGATTGTGGCTATTATTAAGAATTTACTAAATACCTGTAAGTAATTAAGCACTTTAGCTTCACCACCTTAGTCTACTCTGTTGACTGTCCTGAATGTAATTTACTGTCCCTTCCAAGGGGCAGAGATTAACAGACCCTGAGGGTTGGGGTCTAAAGCCCACGAGAGCTCTGAGGAGCTCAGCTGCTCTTCTGCCAGCTCTCATCTCAGGGTGCTGGAATCCGGTGAGGCGATTGTGTGATTTACTTAAATAGCAGACAGAACAGGAATTCCTCATTGTTCTCCGTGAAATCACGAGCTGGATATTTCCTCTGATTATAATTTTTGATGCTTGACTGGCACGTAGTATGCCCCCGTCTTCAGTGAGGCCCCAATAGCATGGAGAGTGGGAAGCCACCCACCCAGCAGAACCCTAATGCGGAGTTGGTCTTCTTGAGTTAATTTACCAGTTTCCTTACCCTACCGGATTGACAGCCCAAGGTTGACTTAGTTTTGCTTCCTGAGTTGAATGTTTGTGTCTCCTCACACCACTGTTGGAATAAGAAACTGGAAGGCCACAAGTGAATTGAGGAGTGTCACTTTCAGGACTTGGGCTCTGCTCGCTTACTCCTGGTGTGAGATCTAAAGTCAAGTAGAGAAAACAATCTACCTCTTAGGTTCTTCACCTGTGTTTGTAATCAGGCCACCTTATGTGGTTGTTCTGAAGCGAGAGGAGAGAGGACCGATCCTAGGGTGGGTAACACAGTGACAATGCTGTCCTCCCTCTGCCAGCATTAACAGAACGCCAAGCAGGATGGGGCTGGGGTGGAAAGGAGCCCAGGTGCAGCTCTGGGAATGTAACTTAGTATCCTCTGAAGAGTATGGAGTTCCTTGCAAAATCTAACAATACAGTAAGTCCTCAGTAAGTCCCGCGGAGGGTGTTGGTGGGGCAAGGACCCCCACACACCCACGAGGCCTGGGTGCCCATGTGTCCACAGATGTCCAAACCAAGTGACTTTCTTTCATTAAATGGGTAAATTAAGGGAAGCAAGACACACTGTGTGGAGTTCTGGCTCCACCCTGGTTTGTACCCAGGTGTCTCCCCAGAGCCCTCTGCGCTCACAGGTGGGTGGTGCCTGGACTTGGGCTCACAGCGGACTTGACGCAGGAGGCCAAGTCTGGTCCACACGGGTCACTGGGACAGTGACCGGAAGGGGGTTCCGCAGCTCCATCCGCTTTTCGCCGTGTACTTCCGGGCTGCCGTGCGGTGAGCAGCCTCTTACCACCATCCCTCCTCGGAGCCGGCCAACATGGGCGGGACCGCGGTTCACCTCTCCTCCTTTACTTGTGGGTGTCGAGCACTTTCTCCAGGGAAGACGATGAGGAGCAGGTACATTTCACACCAGCCGGGCAGCGGAACCCCCGGAGGAATGCCTCTTCTGCCTTCAAATTCGCGTTGCGTCATTTTCAGTTTTTTATCATGCTTTATGTGTCCTTGTTTGCAAATCAGTTCTGTCTTTCGCAGCACAAGGCCCATTTTGTTTGTAATTCCTTTGGCCTTTCTGTGTCTTGAATTGGAGGATTTCTTTGTACTCTATTCAGTGTAATCAGTGGTAACTAAGAAGTAACAGCCGCGTTCTGCACTCCCGAGTGATTCTTGTACTTGTTTCTTCCTTCCTTCTTCTGGTACTGTGTCCTTCCTTCCTGTGATTACCTCTGCCATTATGTTTAGAATCTCTGCTTTTTATTTTTGTGCATCAGCTTTGGTGTTTGCTTTGTGGTTACTATGAAACTTACAACGAATATGCTTCTGTTGTAAAAGGTTATAGTACTCAGATAGATACTTAATTTTGATTATATAGAAATAATCCTGGGGAAGTAGGGCTGGAGAGGAAGCTCAGGGATGGAGTGTTTACCTGGAGCATAGGAGGCTGCAAGCCAATCCTCAGTCCTGCCTGCCAATAGAAATGAATAAGTGCTCTCTAAAATAATTTACACTGACTCCATTCCATCCCAATATTTTGAATACCACATGCTATAGTCTACATAATAA